AAAATCCTGACGGATGAGACTCCGCTGAAAGACTACGAAATGGACGAAAAGAAGTTCGTTGTGGTGATGATCGCCAAACCCAAGCAACCGACCACTCCTTCCACGCCCACAGACACCACCTCAACGGCTGTCCCGTCGACCGCTTCCACGACTACAGCGACGGCCAGCTCTCCGCCGAAAGAAGAGGCGCCTAAGACGGAGGCGACCCCATCGACAACCGCCGCCTCTTCGACGGCGCCCTCGTCTGCGGAGTCGACGATTGTGTTGGGAGAGGACTACCAGAAGATGGTGAAGCAGATCATGGAAATGGGGTACGAGAAGGAGGCGGTCGAGCGGGCACTGAGGGCCAGCTTCAACAACCCGGACAGAGCTGTCGAGTATTTAGTGACGGGTTTCCCGACGGAACTCTCGGAGGCTCAGCCCCCGGAGGCGCCCGAAGGAGTGGTTGGCCCACCCGTGGAGTCGTCGGGCGGCGAAGAGAATCCGCTGGAGTTCTTGCGAACTCAGCCGCAGTTCCAACAGATGCGTCAAGTGATCCAACAGAACCCCCAACTGCTCAACGCTGTTATGCAACAGATCGGCCAAAACAACCCACAACTCCTGCAACTCATTACACAAAACCAGGAGGCGTTCGTTCGCATGCTTAACGAGCCGTCGGCCGCCTCGGCCACAGCTACCGCTACGGCCACCTCTGGGGGCGGCGGTGGCGGAGGACAGGCGGGCGCTGCCGGACAACCAAATCGATTGGACGAACTGATTGGGTCGGCACAAGTGACGCCACAGGACAAGGAGGCCATCGATCGGGTATTATATGCTGTTGAGTGTAGTGGTGTTGAAACGATTACTAACTCGTGATTCTTGTCTGCTATGGACTGTCTGTCTGGCAGTTGAAAGCGTTAGGATTCCCGGAATATCTTGTGGTTCAGGCATACTTCGCATGTGATAAGAATGAGAATATGGCCGCCAATTTCCTCCTCTCCCAAGGATTCGATGACTAATAGTTTATACGATAAAAATCTTTTCTCTTAAAATCGTTTTCTTGTTTAAAAAGACATCGCTTTTCTAAAAACAACAAAATTGTCACTAAATAGAGAAATGCCTATAATTTCTTAACTACAATACAAATTTCAATAACAATTCTCTCGAATTCTTTACTTATTGTTCAATTCATTTGCTATTATTCTATACGTTATGTCATCGATTTATAGCAAAACAATTCATTTTTGGTCTCTTTTTTATATATAAGTCGTTAAAACAAGTATAACATAACATACAGTAGTCCTAAACGGGATGTCTTCATAACGATGTCTCCGTTCATGAATCGCATATTTTTTTGTGTAAAACTATTTTCGATTATTAATTAATTATATAATTTGCAAACAAATATGAGAACAAAATTTAATAAACAAAACGACAATTCAATTAAATTATAGGACGAATTCATTCACTTTATTTGTTGAATACTTTTGTTCAGTTTTGAAATATTTATATCGATTTCAAAATAAGTTAAATATAACAGAGATTTGATTATAATTTTTGTACGGTATAATGTCTTAATGGAAAGTAATTCATTAATGTTTAAATAATTTATTAAACAGTCAGTCAGTCATACATTATATACAGTATATTGTGGCCCCACTTAAGGATTACAAACTAAAAGACTCACAGAATTAGATCACATTTAATGGCACAATAAGTTCCGACTCATTCAATGTAACGCTTTTACAGAATATTCAGTGAAAATATGTGACAAACAAAAAAAAGCATAAAAACGTTACTTTGAATCACAACAAATCGCTTTAAGAAACCAATGAACTCAATGTCTGTACATTGAGACACAAACAAAGTCCTGAGTCGAGAATAGAGTAGAAGTTAAAAATACTGAGATAGTAGTAACCATCGGACAAAGAAAATATTTGCAAAATAATTAAAAATGAGCAAAAATTCTGGTTTAAGAAACAAGAGTTTTCACAGTCAATGAAATAAAAACAATTCATTTGTCTTTATATTGAGCTATAATAGTGGGAAATAAAAACCGATTCAAATTGGATTGAATTATGCATTTGAAGCGAATTTTAGTATTAAATAATAAAATCAAATGAAGTACTTATAAGGAGATCAATGCTGGAGTGAAAGGCACTTATAAACAGTGTTTTAACAGTACTTATTAATTGAAAATCTTATGCCATAAATATGGGGCGAACACAGACTTAGGCTTACATTTGCTCACAAAATTTAGAGCCGATTCCAGCGCTCATTACTATTACAATAAGTGGTCTCAAGAATTCACTTGAAATTAGTTTACTTTTAAGTAATGAGTGATGAAATGGTCAAACAATGAGTTTATTTAGCCTTAAATTAGTTTTAGTTGTTATAAAGTTCATGCAAAATCATGCAATACTTCCAATCATGCATTCAAACGAACCTTGTTTAGACCTAATTGTCGGACAATTCTTTAAATCAATTCTAGACTAGTAGTCATTTACAGTATAGAAGCGTATAATTAATTGTCAATTATATCATTCATTAATTACTTAAACAAATAGAGACTAATATTCAATATATCGCTATATTTTTAAATAAGTGTTCCATTGATTGCTGCCATTAGTTGAAAACCATTTTAATAACAAAACAAGTGTTTGAATGTCTGGTCAGCGCTCGGTTAAGCGATGGATGAGTTAGTATTCATTTGTTATTTATAGCTATTAAACGCCATAATTGACTGCAAGTCTCTCTTTTAAAACCGCCGGAAATTGTTCAGAAAATCGCCGCCAATTCTCTTCTCCCACTTGATTCTTGAAACCGTGAAGAATCTGCCCATCATTTCAACATAATGTTAGATATACAGTACTTGACACTATCAAAACGTCACCATTGCATACCTCGTGGAACATCTGTTTGAGGTCTGCTTTGGGACTATTCCAGGAGGCGATCGCATCACAAAAGAAGATAAACTCGTTGACCACTCCGCTCGGATTCACACTAATCATACCACAGATGCCTCGAAACGCAGAGTCTTTCTCCTCATTATCACGAATGTTACGTAAAGACGAACACCTAATCATAGAAACCAATCACAGATAAGTCACAGTATGTCTCGCATTAAATTATTTATAAAGCATTTGTTATAGAGTTGAGTATTGGTTGGAAACGTGAAGAATGTGTTCAGAAATTAAAGTAATCAATAAATAAGGGAACCAAAAGTAATGGCATACAGACCAGGGACGTATAAATTGCTGTAACATAGGGGCCACCTCTTCGGGACACACGAGACCCAAACGACCAATTGTTATGGCTATCAATCAATAGCAGTCACACGTATAGCACAGTACGTGTCGATTGATTGACCATTTAATTGACGAGCAATTTATCATATTTTATATATTTATATTCAAAACACAAACGAAAGCCACGGAAATGAAAAAAGAAACAATAAATTAATTAAAAGACAACCACAACAGATACCGTAATACAAAAATATTAACTTAAATTCAAACTGTGTTCTCAATGCATAGGTCTCATAGGAATGGGTGCTATTGTCTAACCTGTGTTCTCGAGTAATGTTTTAGGAGTTCCCGGTTGATTTATAATTGTGATCAATTGAGATAAAACCATCGCTACGTAAGGCTTCATATCAGCGTTCAGTTTGACGGCTACCTCTCCTATAGCCCACGTGGCGTTATTGCACACCGATATATACTCGGGCTTCAGATTCTGGCCCAGAATTGGCAAAAATTCACCTGAAATACCAAATATGCGTACAAATTAGATATAGTTTTATAAGTTAAGCGCAAATCATTCATAGAGAAATGCTCAGTCAGTACGAATACAAGGGGTCACAGGTATTGATTCAATTAAAAATACTGTTATCATCATTGCATTAACTATGAAACCAATTAAATTGCAAGGATTCACAAACCAATGCAAGGGTTCACGTGTTGGAAACAAGCTTTTGTCAGATCTCCCAATAGAGCAAACGAACTCTGGCGCACTTCAGGCATCGGATCCTTTTCACAAATACGCACACATTAGTTACATCTTAGACAACATGTCCATTAGGACACATACCTGCATGCATTGGTACAACAACTGCATTATATTACTCGACATCACTAATGACTCCATATGTCCGTTAAGACCCTCAGCCAAACCGCTCAACAGATCCAGTGCTACAATCATAAAGTCTTTGTTTGGTGGCTCAAACTGCTCCGGGTGTTTGGCATTAGCCTATAAATAATTAATTCATTAAATTCTATTCAAGTAAATATTTAATAATGAGTTAAATTATACCAAATTTAAGTTAAGTGTTTGTTCGACGAGAGACAGACAGCGCCTAAACACTGGTTCACAATAGGGAAGAAACCCAGACTGAAGGGCTGTGGCCACAGACGAGAGGCACTGCATATGAAACACGAAAAATAAGTTAATTTCCAATCAAAGGACAGACTCCGGTCGTATTACTTCTAAAAGTGGAAATAAGTCTTTGTCGTCGTCTTTGAGCAAATTCCACTTCTGGATCAGTGGAGGCATTAATAGATTAATGTATTCCTGTTTATTGAGATGATGTCCAACAGAGTCAGCCAGCGTTCCGATCGCATCGTAAAGTATTAACAGATTCTTGTGCTAAACATAAATGTAAATTAAAATAAACCTAAACTATATATAAAAGTCTATCGATAAATACCTGATATTTACTAAATGCAAAGACTAGAGTTTGAAGAATAAATTCTAAGTACGGCACGAGTTCAGTACACGCCTCCTCCTCGAGGGTCGCGAACGCACTACAGGCCGCCTCCTGGACTCGTTTGTTCGCATCCAATACTCGCTTTAAAAGCTGTGGTCAACAACAACGCATGGTTTAAGTCAACGGCAACTTAATAGAGAAATATCAGGCAAACCTCAGTCATTAAAGGCTTAAGGAAGCGGTCGTGTTGTTGTTGGACAACCCAATGAGAGTATCGGCTTAATGTCCAACACGTGATTGATCGGACCAATGCTTTCTTCTCAGAGAGACAACTAATCAAATATGGAATCAATTCTGACAAATGAGGAATCATTCCAGTCATACACCCTGTCATCAGATATGAGACAAATAAATTAAGACCACATTTTGGATGACAAGCACTCAATGGTTGCACCTTCAGCAATAGCTCCCAACGCGAGAACAGCCGATTCCTTGACGACCCAATCCTGATGAAAGAGGGTCTCCTTGAGAATGGGTAGGACTACGGGCAGCAGTTCGTCGTGGAAGACATTGGCCAACACGTCCAGCGCCGCAGCCGAACACTTGCGAAGATTCCAATCGGACAGTGAGTTATCGTCGCCGTCGTCGTCCGACTCGTCTTCGCTGTTTTCCTCGTCGTTGTCCTCCATATGTCTTTGTGCGTGAGTTCGGGACCGATGGAAGCGGGGCTTAATGTCCTCCTCTTTGTCGGGAATCATTTCGTCCTCTTCTACGTCTCCTTTCAATAGTATTATATCGATCTCTGAATACTTCATTCGACGCATAAGAATGGGAATCAGTCGCGAGAGGTGTCCCGAAAGGACTTCTTTACAGATGGGCTGTTCGGCGAGTGAGAGCCAGAACTCACACGACTCTAAGGCCACGTTCTCGTCCTGGTCTTGGGTTCGCATCAGCATATACTGCAAGACATTCACAGACATTGTTTCAGTTAATTCTTTCATTGATTGACTTGAAAATGATATATCAAACGATGAAATGGGTTTAAATGATTTGCTATCCTTTCCAGGTCTGAACCGTTTGGTTAATTACAAGTAACCAAAGGAGCGATTAAGGAAAGGGTCGAAGAGATGGAGTACTCGCTGTCATAGAGAATAGCAATACAGACCTCTATTATATTGTGAATGTGAGGAATGAGTCGATCCATCCGTACTTCCAAAAGCATGACTAGTGCTCTGCAAACGTTTCTCCTGACCTCTGGGTCTTCATCCGACGCCAAATGGAATAAATTCTGTCCATTCAATCAAAATGAGACAATTGCTTGAAATACGAGTCCAAATGTCTTGACGACAAATGCAAACCTCAATGAATGAGTCGATGTGCAGCATAAGAGCCTGAGTGCGACTCATAATGAATTGGTTAACACACGCGATGGCATGGGATCTGATTTTGTTGCTGTTATGTGTGAAGAACTGGAGAAACTTTGGTATCAGAATATTGAGGGGTCTGTTGAGTACATCGCTGTCCAACACTTCCGACGAGTCCTCGCATATCTTCTGGAGCGCACCAAAGGCTCCCTCACAAGAGCTGTAGTCATTGGAGTCCAGCATTTGGACCAATCGGGGCAGCAGTTCCGGCCAATTCACGAGTTCGCCTTTGGACGCGATGGTCGTTATAAGGATGCCTACTGTGGCCCGGATTAGGGGCGAGGGGTCGCCAACGCTCTCCAGACATTCGCTTTTTATAAATTCGGTCACTTCTGCCGGGAACTGATGCAAGTGTGCCCTCACGTTGTTCTTCAGTATGAGACCACTCAGCGAACGCGTCGGTTCATCTGCACAATCAATGGCCGGTCAGTGAGTCCACCAATTAGTGGTCAACCCATTCATACATACCTTCCGTTTTAAGTTTCGTTAAAACAAATATTAAATAATTATTAAAATCTGGAAATTTGTTCAATTCTTCTAATTTCTGTGGATTCAATGGCAATGATAAGACAATTAGTGAGCAATGGATCGATTGGTGGCGCACGTGATGGTCAGACCTGTTGGACAGTCCTTTGTGTTTGAGTATCGGGTGATTGGGATTCGCGAAGAAGTTGTAGTATTTGATCCAAACCCTCCTGTCTTGGGGTCCACGCCATCAGCATTTTAGTGATAATTCAAGCGTTTGTTTGTATTATTAAAGCATTTATTAATGACTTTTGATTTTTTCACTTAATTTCTCAATTATTTGGTGACAAAAAAATTTGGGTTCAATACTTCAAAAGATTACTAAACGTTAAGACAATTTGCAAAATATAAATAGCTAGTTCAAATATGTGTTCAATTCAAAATAATTATTTCATCATTAATGACAATTTGTTAATAAAATAGATTTAGTAAAGTGTAGTCAATGAGACAATATATGAAAACATGATTTAGTTAGCAATCAATGGCTATCATAATGGAGTCAATGGAGAGCCACTCATTCAGTGCACAGACTGTACAGTATTGCTGTCTATCAGTGTCTGTCTGTAATGCTCGACACATTTAAATGACTTTCGCATTGCATTCTCACCGCCAATGCTGGGGCGCCTCAGTCATGGCTTTCCCTCACAGCACACCAGACACCGGCCTGAGCCCTATCCAACCACTCATCCCACCCTTTGGCTCCACTTTTGAATACAACCTCAACATTGTGGGCACATACAGTATATTCATCATTTGTCACTTACCACTATATAAATGACCATTATACTTTTATGCTGCTATTATCTTCATTTAATTTATCTAAATTCATCCAGCCAATTATGGTCATAGAGAATATCTAGCAACAAGTGTCCAGATCATTGCTCATTTCAATAAATTATTAGTATCTGGGTAGTTACCAACTAATTTACCAATAACTTGTGGGCAAAATGGGAAACAATGATTGAAAGTGCAAACAAGCATATGCTTATTGATTGGTGTGAATAGTTAGCTGGATGAGTTGATGAATGAGTTGTTAGTGAATATGAGTCTAATTTGAATGCTTTTTATTAATGATTAACTGAACATATTGAATACAATATTTAATAGAATTACAAAGAATTATACTATTAGACCTTGAGTGAATAACAATGGATTTGATAATAATAATATCATAATCGTAATTATAATTAAATAGTGTATAATATTACATAATAATTGAATGGCTTTCCCATTAGCACAATGATTGGAAGCACAAGGCATAGCGTGAAGTAAATTGTTTAGACTTAAAAACTATTTAAATCTAATCATCAGTTTTCATATAATTTGTTAAACAGTTTCAACAATTGGACTAAAGTTTTGTTAATATAGTGTTAGAATTACTTTCAATTTGAGGGCACATATTCTGGTATGTATTTTACGGGCAATTATAACATCAATTCATATTCAATATAAGTTCAATAATAATAACTATTCATATTTTAATATCAATAATATGGCAGTCATTTAAATATCATATTATTTGTGCAAAAGTTTGGCTAAACTTTCATCTGTTTTAGTGTTTAATACAGAGATTTTGTAAATATGTTTCAGTAAATGATTTGTTGTTTAAAGAGTTGTATAAAAAAGCTTTGAAATAAGCGTACGTTTAGGTCGTATTGAATGAATTTGTGTAACCTTTAAAAATGCATACATTTAGCAAACCATAAATAATTGATATAATTATTCATCAGTTATGCGTTTCTTTGCATTAGTTTATTGTCATTTAATCTGAATTTCACTGTTATTTTGTTTACGAATTGAAAATACTTTTAAATCCCATTACCTATGGAATTCCTATTAATAATATAATATAATATACAGTATATTATTGAATAAAACTTCATTTACAAAACATTTTTCAAAAAACATTTTTCAAACCATTTCCTATTGGTATCGATTCAATATAATCGTAATCATAATAATTGTATATTTAATAACTTATATATAGATTATAGTTTTGATAGATATTTGCATTTGTTTGTTATAACATTGAGCTCTAATTCAATCAATTAATATATCATATAATCATTAAATAACTCACAAAAAAATCAGATTAACAGTAAAACCTGAATATAAGACTCAAATATGTCGCTTAGAAAACAAAACTCCGAAATGTGTCAACAATTTAGTTGTAAATACAGTCCATATAATAGATATAGTGTTGGAATCAATGAGTAAATAGTATTACTTAACGGATGTCTGCCTTAGGCAGTACTCAAGTACTCAATCAAATGATTATTCATATTAATATTCATATAATATATGTATTGATAAACTGCTAATACTTTATACAAAACATTCACTAATACTTAGACAACACATGAATCAAAGCACAGAACACGAGGACTTCTCGCGGAAGGGGTTCGCCTTCTGGGAGTGGAAACCAACCAACAGGTAGTCATCGTTCTCGTGGTCCGAGATATACTTCTGTGGAGACAATCCAAGATATTACCACAGTGTCACCCTGGTCATGGTCAGCACCACCAATGGTCACAGTGACCACTATCAGCACCACTATCACCACAACCACAGCCACAACACACGCATACATACCTTCAAGTCCTCGATGGCCGTCGAGACGTTCATCCGTTTGAGTTGCGATTCTTTGCGCAACTGTTCCACAACTCGTCGCTGTTGTTGGAGTGAAGACATGATTCAATGTGGGCTGCAATCAGATCATGGGATTAGCCATCAATGGATACTCTAATCAATGTATGAGTGTATGGATTGCATGGACTGTGTCTGTGATAGTTTGACATTTAAAATCATGTCAAATGAGACAATAGTTTGTCATTCGTCGTGCAACACATCCACTCATCCATGCGTTCATTGCATTTACTTTTACTGATCAGTCGATGGTGTGATGCATACAAATGGACACAAATTGATTACAAATTGATTATAATTTCATTAAAACTCACTTTAAATGCAATTAAAACTCTAATCAATTCATTGAGGAGTGACTCAAAATGGCTCAGAAGCTCTCCATCAATTACGGCACGTAAACACATCCCGAAACCCCTCTTGAGTATGTCTTATTTGAATGGTTTGCCCGTTGGTTGGCAATTGTGAGCTGTACAGAGCGGGTTATTTAAATGTTATAGATATAAGCTAGCTCATATTCTTGCTTCATTTACAGTATATTCAAATCATATCACATTGTGCATAGGGTGCATACTTAATATTAATTTCAATTGTTTTATAGATAACAAGTGCTCTCATAATTGTATTAAAAGCAGTGTTGCATTGGAAATACAAATACTGTCATTCTTGAGGCAAACAATTATTATGTAATGGAAATGTATCATACATATACTGTATAATATATATTATATCAATCATATCATACAGTAATTGCTGTAATGATTAATTTAATATAAGGTGTAATTTTTTCCCAAACTTACGTTCACTTTGATTGACAGGTTACTTTTAGTATAGAAATAAGCTATACATCAATGACACTGTATAGCCTATTAGGACCGCATTTTTCTACTTAATTCCCTATTTTGAACGTAAGTCTGCTTTTGCCTAAACATATTCATTGAGACTCACTTTGATCAAATTCAATGCAATATCATACCGTATGTCTATATTTTCAATTCTACACTGTATTAAATTTACTATTTTAACCTTTCTCTTTTATATGTATTCTCATAGATCTTAAATACATTTGCTGTGAATCCAAACTGAGACCAAATGTGTTCACTGAGTGCAGAATACTGTTGACCACTGCTTTCACTTTGCATACAATGCTATAATTTATCATATATTGTATTATATCATACAGTAATATAATTTTAATCTAACATTTTGTGAAAATGTTCAACCTGTTTGACTGTCATTGTGTATTAATGTTACTTTCCATATAAAGAGATTAGATATTGTATAATTTATTCATACTTTCTCTTTCAACAAGTTTTAAAATATAATTTCAATAAATTATAATAAAAATATTAATATAATAATATACGAGAGAGAGAGAGAGAGAGAGAGAGAGAGATGTGTGAGTGGTTAGTTTAAATTTAACAGAATATAACTCATTTTAAAAATAAAACTCACTTAACTTTGTGAAGTTTGTAAATCATTTGAAATAATTAAGTTCTAGCTGTATATTATGAAAAATGAAGCCCTTTCTAACGTACCCACATACTAGTGTCAGTACACTATAACAACTAATCCGTAATATACACAAGCACAAATTAATTTAAAAAGAGAAAATCACTTAATAAACGGAAATGGTGTTAAAATTACAATATAGATGTAAGTAATGAATGGCCAAACATTTAATTAGTAGTTGCGGTGAAAGTGGAACTTAATTATTGAGATTTTAACTACAAAATGATCGTCTATTTAATGTATGATATGTTTAGTGTAATGTATGTTGCGTTTAGGAAACCACAAACGACTGGATATACTGTATATCTGATACTCAATCGAAAGACTCATAAATTATACTCTTCTCCAGATTACTATCTATTGATGGCTTTAAAGACGATCTAATTATCACAAAGAATTTGCTTTCGCTCTTATGCGCAAGATTAGTTAAACTTTTTTGCGATAAAATCAAAACAATATGTTATTGTTTGTCAGAATTATTAGGTATACTGACATTAGTTGTAAATCATATGAAATGATCAAACATTTGTAATTTCTTTGTTTGGTATAGTCTTAATTTCTGTGGTAAAGTAGGATACAGATAATTTTTAGCCAACATTTATATTTGTTTTGGATTAATTGCTGATCAAATTCACTGATTATTATGTAGTTTTAAAAAATTTAGTTCTTATTTTATTAAATACATAATTGTTTCTATTCTCCGATATTTTATATATGATTTTTAAAGTTTATTTTAAAGCATTTTTTATATTTTAAATATTCAGCCAAAAAATCATGAATTGATATTTTAGATTTGAATCAATTTAATCATAAAACTTGTGAACGAAGTTTATATAGTCTAAACGTTTACTACTTTGAAATTAGTATTTTCACTTATACAGTATCTAATAATCTATAACTAAAATATATAGAATATTTTAATTTATATAACTTACTTATATTATATTCATTTATATGAAATTTTATTAATTATTTAACAAACATCTAAAAGAAAACTATAGATTACAGATTAACTTAATTAACTATTTTATCTCATGCTTTAAGTTTAATTAATTTTAATAAATAAAGAAACTAAGCTAATACTATATTACAATACTAGCTGTATTCTATAAGCTAAAAATTGTTTAGTTTATATAAATATTAGTTTTTCAATTATGAATACTAACAATAAGAACAGTATTTTACAATTAAGGACCTTTTGTTGTTTATATATATATATATAATCTATATAACATATCTGGACCTCTTTACAATCATACCATTTATTAAAATTGTGAAATTTAAATGAGTTAAATATTGCTCAGAAATGAAACGTTAGGTAAATACCGGTAATATATGAATGGTGTATATTTTAATTTTAAAAACGAATTTATCAACAAAACGAGAGAAACTTTTAATGAGTTCTGAAAACTAAAAATAATTAATAATTTGAAAAATGGTTTCCTTCTGCTGTGCGACAGAAGTTCGCCAACAAATACACTGTTAGTCTCGGAGTTTGATATATGAATGAGTTTATGATAACAAGTATTTCATACATAATATGAATAGAGTGTCAAAGAGTGTGAAGAGTGTAAGAGATGGTAGGACTAAAGGGTGTGAAGAGGAACTCAGGCTCAATGAATTAAAACAAGGACATAGTCGGCACCAAAAACAGAGATACTGTACTTCCAGTATCTAAATGAAACTCATCTCTCTCTCTCTCTCTCTCTCTCTCTCTCTCTCTATTGGGCAAAAACAATTTATTTGCAAAATATATCAAACAGATTAAAATGGTGAACTAATAGTAAATGCAAATTAATCTAAACTGACATTCAATGACTTCAAGTAATTTGAATATTAATTGAATAAAGACTTTAATTAGTGTTAAATGAAAATATGCCACAAACTTATGGTAAAACATTAATTGAATTTGAATTCAATAATTTGTTATAGAGATGCTCTGTAAAGATCTATTATACTATTATTAGATCATATTTTGACATTTAAAAGCTATGGATAAAAGTTTTTGGAGTATAATTAAATTAATTAAAAATTGTATTATGTTTTTAAATAAATAAAATCTTAACTTTTAGATTGAAGAGTTAAATTAATGTTTCTACAATATTACAGCTATACAATAAGAAAATGTAATACAATGTAATAAGAAGTAAGTTAATATTTATGTAAAAGTTAAAAATTTTAGGTATAATATTACAAAAATAAAAATAAATTGTATTCATTAATTTAATCATTTATTTTAATAAGAATTTGTTAAGTTTCCAAAAAATCATACAAAGTAACGTTATACATCACACAATTTTAATTATTTTTTATATTGTTTCCCAAAAAAGCTTTGATTTTGTTTAAAATCATTAACTCTGAAATTGATATCTATTCTCACATTCCTTAACAAACATTATAACAATATATGGAATCCAAGTGCGAAAACTGCACTCAACACAAGTACTCTACTAATGGCCCTAATTTTGTTGATTGCATTTGCAGTGAACATAAATTTGCATTTCACTCAACAAACGCCTCATTTAAGCTCTTTTTCTAATTATTTATTGTACTTTCAATCTATAGATTCAGCAAAAGGTTATCAATTTTTATTCACTGATTGCTAGTTGTATTGAATACATAGACATCTTTAAGTATTATCTTAAACACAAAACATTTACCATTTTTGTTATGTTATAGACTCTATATATTAGTTACTCTAACTTTGTTGCATAACTGTATACATTTTCATATTTATTCAAGTTACATAAAAAATAAGTTATGCTAAATTGTAGGCTTGTAATTTTAAAATTTCTGAAATTACAATTTAGAAATTAAAATTTTGAGTCTTTTAGATATTAAAATATCTGTATAATATTTAGCTATTTTATAATAAAACTTATGGCTTATTTAGAAACAAGGGAATGAATTTAATAGAAATGTATTGTACGCACAGAAAGCTGTAAATTAATTTGTGTAAAAGTAAGATTTCTATGTAAATGAGTTTATTTTTTAAGAATTTATGAGTATTAATATTCACATTATTTTCAATTCACTGAAACCTTTACCAAAAGTCATGAGAATTGAAAGGCCAAAGAATGCGAAGACTTTGTTATATTACTAGAAGACTGCAACCATTGCAACAAATGATGCCATAAATCTAATGCAGAAAATTAGAGTTAAAAACGCGCATAAAATCTGATCTGCAAAAATGTGAAATTAGTTTTAATTTGAAAATGTCTTTAAAGTAGAAAAAGAGAAAGCCGTTAAACAAATGAAAAGTAAACCCTTTAGGCTTTTTATGAAAATTTAATTCTTCAAGAATTTCTTTCTCTCTTTTATTTCTACAATTCAAATGACTTTCACATCACAATAAAAGTCTTTGAAATGAAAATTCTGTTAATGTAATACATAAATAGTAATACCACTATAATATTTATATTAATATATATTTGTATTGTATAGAATGTAAAATATATGAAATTTACATAAATATAATATACATAATATGCATTCATGAATTTATATTATTTTCTCTTTTCTTTCTATTAAAATGCAAAGCAATCCGTATATACACTGTATATGTGACTGCATTATACATTTGAATTGACAAGAATTTATCGATTGAAGTGCAAAATAGTGTGAATAATAGTCGATATTTAATAATAATAGTCATTTGATAAATTTATATAATATTATATAAAAACATAAAATTCTTTGAAAATATAAATCTTAATCATTGAGTTTTGCACTAAATTTATTCTATTATTATAATGAAGATTAATATTAAGTTCAGTTAATGGCTGATGACCTCATCACAGACTTTTTTCTTATGCTCTATAAGAATAGATTAGTTTCATATAAAACAAAAATCTAATTAAACTTTGTGTAAAATACACTTATATTAATAAATACGTTCAAAATGTAATCTTT